ACTGGATTAATGATTATTACACTTCGTTGTTAGTTCAACTCTGTAGCTCTAATAACTACTTGTAAGAGCGTTGCAGGAAAAACTGATTCTGCCATTGTTGTCGTCTTTTTTAGTTCTCAGTAGTATATCACCCAAAGTGGACTTAGGGATATAACTACAAGATTTAGATGGAAAAACAAATGGTGAAATTTTTTCGCCGACAAGCGAACAAGAAGTTGATTTTAAAAAAAACTTTAGCCCATTAACGTTGCTTCGTCATCGCTTTCTCAAGAGTCGAATTTGGTCTAGACCATTGTCTATATAACTTAGAAACGGTGAGAACATTGGGATGTGAGCACATTTTTTGCACTACTTCTGCTTTCAATAGTGCGAACATACTAACTGTGCTCTTGAAGTATAGGGGATATTATTCTTTTGACTTAGACTTCAGGAGTAGAAACCGAAACTAAACTAAAGCTGCAGCTAATGTAGCCGCTATTTTTCACACCACTCGAAACTTGGAGGTATGGTCTCGGAAGCCATTTTCAATGTCAAATTTGTGATTAGATGAGAGACAGTTAAGCATTCTATGGGACAGTATTAATTGTAAAACATTCCTAATGAGAACGAAATCGTCGTCGATAAGAGTAGGAGACGAATTGATGTTATCAATTATGACCGTTTGATGATGTTGTATAACACTCTTGCAGTGAGCGACACCTATAGATGTCATAGTGTTCTTGTGCAAATGAACAGTAGGAAACCAAGTGGGGTGTATAAGTGATGAATCACAGTAATATTAACATCATAAATAAAATGCATACCTATAGAATGATAGAGCAAAGTCTTTTATACAATTCATCTATGTGCACAACCTACGAAGTATCCTACTTATAAAAAATTTGTATTTTAAAAAAACAGCAGAACAATGAAGGTTAAAAGAAAATCGTCGTCCAGTCTGCAACCAACCCAAGGATAGGCGTTGTCGCGAGAGTATTGCGGAAGAAATTGGCAGTGATCAGAGCTTGACGAAGAACTTGTTTCGGAGAAGGAACAGCTTCAGATCAGTTCAGACAAGCTGGAAAATCAAAATAACTTATTAATTGAGACGAAATGCGTTAAACGTTTGCCAATGGAGTTGATTTGATTAAGCCGTTCTGTGATCTTTCTGTACAACAGCAACATACGACGAAAGTTGGATTACAAGAATTGGCGTTCTGCTCAAGTTGAGGAAGGCGATGCACCAAAACTCCTTTACAAGTCGAATTCAAGTCAAAAGCAAGTAGTGATGGTTTCTTTGTTTTGTCTTTCGCGAAGTAGAATTCTTCGTAAACTTCCGAGCACTGCTTTAAATTTTTACAGTGACTAGCCTGCTTCAGAAGGTCTATAAAAATTCATCTAATACTGGCATTAGTGAATGGAAAGTGAACAATTCTGCAGCAGGACTGAGCCTGACTGCTAAAGCCATTTGAGTATTGAAAAAATCGAGACACTTTGCCTTTTCAAGCACATTTATTGGTCTTTTCGCTAGCGAAAACCATTTTTCAAGCATCTCAGCAACTGCTAGAAAAAAATTGGTGCTCAGCAAGCAAACCATTTGAGAAAATGTCCTCAGGAAACCTGTGACGCCGAAAGTTCAAGGCCTGTCAATGTTTCATTCCTGGTTGGTTTCGTCCATGTGATCTTTTATCTCAAATATTTTACTTTACAATAAATTCTTTTTCAACTTATTATAAATAAGTGCACTAGCTAGTGGCTCTCTGCAATAAGCACGTCATTGCTGGCTCAATTTTGCCACCAGATAAATCAAGTCCTCCCCTAACGAGCCGACAAATTGAGGCGAGTAGTCCCAGGGGATAAAAAATACTAACATAGTGGATCGCTAAACCCTCGCAAGTCTATGTATTATCCAAATATGAATTCAGTCATCTCTACAACGCTTGACAGCGCCAAATGCCCTTATAGCTTGTTTGAATACCTGTATGGCCCGTCTTCACTGGTTTTGCCGTCCCAGTTCGCATTTTTCGAAGTTTTGCTGCTTCAGTCACTGTGGTTCTTTGGATTCCCGGAGGTCAGCCTGGGCCAAGACTTTCTTAGGCCGTCACCACATCATGCGGCATGTGGATCATAGAGTAATTTGTCACCTTGCGACTGGTTTGATACCAAGACGATGATGAAGCTTGGCACTAGTTTATTCTTGACTGTGCTACCTGATGGACTCCTTCCCAGCTTGGGAGATTTTGCCATCGGGATGAATCCTCCCCTGAACATTCACAGCCCGACATCCAGGAACACCTCTCAGTCACGATGAATCGGTAAACCGTTGCGAGGAATGCACTTCGTAATCGAAAAATTAAGCACTAAGAGGAAATACCTTTATCGAGTGTTTGGATTTTATGAGCAGAATACAGTTGTGAGATATTGTTTTAATACACTCCTTTTCTGAAGTTTCTGAAAGTCATAAAACTACTTCCTGATCTGCGTGGAACTGCTTTAGATAATGTGACAAAGATTTCGAGTCCTCGACATCTCCAGAATTACTCACGAGATTAAGTTAACGATTTTTAATCTCCAGATTCAAATCTGTCGAAGCGACAACATAACGACGTTTGTTCGTTTGCCACATGATCCTTAAAATACGACTTTCGCATTTCTAGCAGAAGGTGCTGAAATATGTTCACTTCTTAACCTTTTTAATTTATTGCCTACCCCCATGGCCCACAAAGCCTTCTATCCTCTCCGGGGTTGGCAAATTTCTACCAGACTTGTCTGGGAGGATAGCAGCACCGGCTCCATACCTTGGTAAGCCACGGCGAGTCATTGTAAAGGCCTGACATGCATTCAATGACCTCCAAACGATGTTTAATGAAGTAGAATGCATAGCGCATCCCTCAGAAATTGATCAATGCTGAGCGCTTTATCCATTATCGTTCATATATATATATATATATATAT